TAATAGAAAGGGTAAAACCAGAGATCTGTTCAAGAAAATTGGAGATATTAAAGGAACATTTTGTGCAAAGATGGAGATGATAAAGGACAAAAATGGGAGGGACCTTACAGAAGCAGAAGGCATCAAGGAGAGGTGGCAAGAATACACAGAGGAATTATACCAGAAAGATCTGGATGTCCCAGAAAACCCAGATAGTGTGGTTAGTGACCTTGAGCCAGACATCCTGGAGAGTGAAGTGGGCCTTAGAAAGCATGGCTAACAACAATGCCAGTGGAGGTGATGGCATTCCAGTTGAACTATTTAAAATCTTCAAAGATGACGCTGTTAAGGTGCTACACTCAATATGCCAGCAAGTTTGGAAAACTCAGCAGTGGCCAGAGAATTGGAAAAGATCAGTCTACATCCCAATCCCAAAGAAGGGCAGTGCCAAAGAATGTTCCAACTACCGTACAATTGCAGGCGGACCTTTTCCATATAGTTTGCGATCTATCCGGAATTGGTCTGGGTGAAGGGCCTCCCACTAGCATCTCACCTGACCAATTTGTTTTTTAAATAAAAAATGGAGACCATCCGCCGAGACCATCCTTTTTTTAAATATAATGGATCGAGCTGAGATTCCCAGCGCTCCGCCTTGCCCAATGATTCTCGATTGCTTTCAGCCTGTGACACCAAATTTGGTGGACAAGCACTTGATCGCTGTCAGGCCACCACTTCCTCTCTTGACCCTTGCCCGGCCTGGCTAATCAAAGCAGCCAGGGCTGTAACAACCAAATGGGCCACTGCAATAATTAATGGGTCTCTCCAGGTGGGCAAGGTCCCCCTTGCCCTCAAGGAGACACTCATTAGGCCCATTAGGAAGAAATCAAATTTGGTGGAGGACGACACTGGAAATTACAGACCCGTCGCCAATGTGTCCTTCTTCAGCAAAGTGGTCGAGAGGGTGGTGGCAGACCAGCTTCAGGCACTTTTGGACAAAACCAATGCTCTGGACCCATTTCAGTCAGGCTTCAAGCTGTGCTATGGAACAGAAACGGCACTGGTCGCACTGTTGGATGACCTGTTGAGAGAGGCTGATGGGGGCAATATGTCCTTGTTGGTCTTCCTTGACATATCAGCTGCCTTTGATACCATAGACTACAGTATCCTCTTGGGAAGGCTCTCTGAGTTGGGAATCGGTGGCCTGGCGCTTCCCTGGCTCTGATCCTTTTTGGATGACCGCCCCCAGAGAGTACAGCTTGGGGAGAATGTCTCGGCCCCGTGGAGCCTCAATTGTGGGGTTCTGCAGGGGTCAATCATCTCTCCAATGCTGTTTAATATCTGTATGAGGCCATTGGGTGAGGTCATCAGGGGGTGTGGGGCATCGTGCCATCAGTACGCTGATGACACACAGCTCTACATCTCCTTTACTCCTACTTCAGTGGATGCCGTCCGGTCCCTTCAGCATTGCCTGGAGAATGTACTGCAATGGATGCAGCTAAATGGGTTGTGGCTGAACCCGGACAGGACGGAGGTCTTGAGGGTGGGTGGTCTCTCCATTAGCGATTTGGGTGACTCCCTTTCTTTTGGGGACACGATCCTTACCGCAAAGAGCAAGGTCTGGACCCGGCACTTACCATGGAAACCCAGGTGGCGTCCGTGGTCCGTTCTGCCTACTTTCATCTATGGCGGATTGCCCAGCTGTGACCATATCTTGATTGGGGGGGTCACTACTGTAGTCCATGTGCTTGTAGTCTCGAGATTAGACCATTGTAACACACTCTACGTGGGGCTGCCTTTGAGATTGTTGCGGAAACTTCAAATGGTGCAAAATGCGGCAGCCAGGCTTCTTAGTGGGGTGAGAAAATATCAGCATATCTCCCCCACTCTGGCTGCTTTGCACAGGTTGCCCATCCGTTTCTGCATTGATTTCAAAGTGCTAACAATTACGTACAAAGCCCTAAACGGTTTGGGACCACGATATTTGGCAGATCGTTTTCTTCCACCTAGATCTACTCGAATCACCCAACATAGCCAGCAGGGACGGCTGATGGGCCTAACGCCGAGAGAGGTCTGGAAGGAAAAAACAAGAAACCAGGCCTTCTCGACAGTGGCCCCTCAGCTATGGAACACCCTTCCAACTGAAATTCGACTGGCACCCTCGCTGGGTTTTTTTAAAAGCCATTTAAATACTTGGCTCTTCAGGCAGGCCTTCCCTCCAGTCAAATAGCTGATCCCTATCTTTCTTGCTTGAGTTATGCCATCTTGGTAATAAGCTGCTTAGAAATAAGTGTTAAAACTGTGTTTTAGATTATTTTTATATTGTTCATATTGTTGTGCTTTATTCAAGCCATCCCGAGTAGACATTGTCTAGAGGGGCAGGGTAATAAGTGTAATAATAAATAAATAAAAATAAATATAAATTACACTAATTTCACATGCTAGCAAGGTTATGCTCAAAATCCTACAAGGTAAGCTTCAGCAGTATGTGAACCGAGAACTCCCAGAAGTACAAGCTGGATTTCGAAGGGGC